AGACGTTGATGCCAAAGGTGACCATCATCCAACACAGAAGCACACAAAAGAGACACAGAGACAGGCGTATCTAATATGTAAAGATTTGCAGAAACAGAACCTCTACCAATCGTCAATCCCTGAATAGATTCCTGAATCAAACAATGATCAACATAGAAATGAGCAGATGCTTGATTATCAACAAGTAAACTACGAACACTAATCAGATTAAAACGAAAAGTAGGTACATATAGCACATTATGCAATGTAATGGTGGATGAAACTATCACATTTCCTATATGCTGAATGGATTCTCTGTGACCATTCGGGAGAGACACAGTGACACCAGTGACAGAAGAAATGTCACTAAACCGTGTAAGATCAGAACATACATGCGTCGTAGCTCCACTGTCAACAATCCAAGAACCACTAGGCAAGGAATTATAAAGGGAAGAAAGGCACTGATGATTAAAGGTAAGGGAATTATTTTCATAACGAAGGTTAGAAGATAAAGAAAGAACGATACCAGAAGAAGATTGAGCAGCCATGTGTCCATGTTCCGTAATAGAAGCAGCTTGGTGTTGAACAGAAGGCTCTGAAGGACAAACCGAAGCCTGAAGCTGTTTAAGAATGTATTGGACCTGATCCTGACTCATCATTGGTGCGCTTGTGACATTAGCAACCGTAGTAGATGACGGATAATGAGATGACTGAGTTGAACCCTGAGGACGAGGAAAGGCACTTTGATTCTGTTGACCTCTTGGAGTTAAAGAAGATGAATTTCCTCGTGGAGATTGACCATGAAAGCGATGACCCGGTGGATAACCATGGATCTTAAAACACTTCTGGACAATATGACCGTATTGACCACAATGGGTACACATCGGACGCTGCTTAGGACGATAACCATGTTGAGCAGCAAGAACCGGAGCATCAGTAGTGTTAGTCATCTCAGGTACAGAACCAGTGGTTTGAAATACAACAGCATCATTCTTCACAGGAGGTTTAATATTCCTCTGTCTCTCATCCTGAGTTATCAGATTAAAGACATCTTCCAAAGATGGGATAGGTTTAATCATCAATATCTGACGACGAGTAGCATCATAAACCTCATTAAGACCCATCAAAAACTTCATCACTCTACTACGTTCCTGTAACTTTTCCCAAAGAACAGACGCATTACACTCACAACGCCCACACGTACATACAGGAAGCTCCACAAAGTTCTTGTACTCCTCCCACAAAGTTACTAACTCAGTATAATAAGCAGTAACATCTAAAGAACCTTGTTGAAGAGCTCCTAAACTCTGTTCAATCTCAAACACACGAGGAGCATCATCCTGCTTAAATCGAGACAACAAATTCTTCCAAATCGATTCAGCAGTAGTCATATACAAAAGGCTCTGAGCAATCTTCTTAGAAACATAATTCATAATCCAAGTCGTAACCATATCGTTACAACGTGACCAAGAACCAGCATCGCGATGATTATCAGGGGGTTTAGGAATCGTACCATCAACGAAGCCAAGCTTATTACGAACATTTAATGCCATACGAACAGATCGCTTCCAAGAATGAAACTCAGCACCAGAAGAGAGGCGATCAGAGACGAGAGCTAATCCGGCATGATCTGAGCTGTGTAGATAGTAAGGATTCGCGTAATGATCCAAGAATTGAGTGTTCGGAGCAGGAGAACTCATGATTGAAGAAGATGCGAGGAATCAATCGAGATGAATGAGTCAAACACCAAGGATCGAGATCAAGAATCGCGTAAGAAAGGAAACAAGACGAATCTCGAGGAAAACAATGAGATCGATGAAGACAGAGATCAATCGAAGATCCGAGAAGCTCAGCGCCATGAAAGCGTAACAGAATCAGCGTGAAAGATCGCGAAACGAAGAAGAAGAAGCCATGAGTGGCTCTGATACCATATTGAATGTTTTCAATTAAAACTTCTTCACCAAAGTTAGTTACACGGTTCAAACTATATATATTACATTGGTTTAGTAAAAGGAGGCTAAACCAACGGTTTGATACATAACCGGTATATAATCTAATATATTTTATTTTTGATTTAACTGGAATATCCGGATCTATGAAACTATGCAAATAAAAAGTACAACTTACCGATAATTATGTTAAGTATTCAAGTGATGTCTAAATCATGACTTTACATATCTATGTGACCACACATGTTTAATATTGTAGAGTTAATTTGAACTCGAATCGCTTAACTCTCCAATATCGTCAACTTTCCTGTAGTTATTGTTATGGTATATTATGACTTCAAAATACTGAAATAGTAATATATAGAGAAATTATCCAATATTGTGATGATTAATTTTGTTTCAACTTTTACCACATGTGAATATAGTATTATTTAAGCATCACGAACTGGAACATGATTTTCAGTTCTTATAAAAATACTCCCTCCGTTTTAGAATATATGTCATTCTATGCTTATTTTTTTGTCACAAATTAAGTGTCGTGTTCGAGACAAAATTTATTAGTTTTATATAATATTCTATTTTTCTATTGGTTGAAAAGTGGTTAGTTGTATAGGTAATTGTGTTTTTATCTTGGAAATATGTAAAATTAAATATTTCTTTAATCTGTGTGCAAAAACCTATAATGACAAATAAAATGAAACGGATGGAGTATTAAATATGATACAATGAAAAAGTGGATATGCATTAATTTGATAGAAAATTAAACAAGCGTCATTGCATAATTGCATTATGATATGTGTATATACAATATACTGATTGACCTGAACACATTCATGAAATTTAGAATTTTGGACACGATCGATATGTACGAAGGTAAAAAAAGTACTACAGTATCTGTCGACCTGAATTGTCAGGCTCCCATAACTTTATGCTCGATAGATATCCATCTCTGATTTACATAATCTATCTCCATTTCGAGATTCGTGTTTGAGATCTACAAAAAGATGAATTGCTTTTTATGTATACGTACGTACGTGCCCTCGTACGAAACTTCTTTCATCATTCATAGTATTATTTCTTCCTCGATTTCCTCTATTCGTTTACTAACGTAATAACTAGATCAGATTTTGATAAACACATTAGTTTTATTTATATAATACTATACAAAAATACTTTGGAGAAAATATACAGAAACATCTTGTATTAATAATGGAGTTGGAGTGGGCCTGATCAGCATTTAGGTTGTAGATACTCGTTGGATTTTTTTCCATGTTCGAAACTATGTTAGGCGCTAATCGAAGCTCGATTCACGCCTAACGAATTAATAAAAAAAACGGTAACAAATCAGAGATTAGTTTTCGTGATATATACTGATGTGTATTATGTAAGTGAGAATCCTGCATGATGTAGTGGTTCCTTTCTTATTCAACAATTAATAGTTTGTGGGTTCAAGTAATATGGCTAGCATCTTTTTTTGCTGATTTTCTCACATTTCTCATTAATGAAATAAAATTACCACTTTATTTTTATCTTTTTTTCTCAACATCCGTCGACTGAAAATATTAATTACCACCTCTATTTTTCTGTGATTCTAACCATTTTCTTTATAATTCTTGGTCAATTATGATAGATTTTCATTTTAGAACATGATTCTAATCTTAAAACTTTGAAAATCAAGTTTTTGATACATTTCCGAATTTAGAGCATTTTGCCCCGAATCGTTATGGTGACGGAACGATCTCCGTTTAATCGCTGATTCAACAGTTATAACGACCGCGTTTTTGAACAGATGTATTTTATATTTGACCTTTTAAATAGAGTATCTTCTCTATTAAAAGAGAAGTACCATTTATATCTACTACAAAAAGTTATATTGGACTATCTCATTAATATGACATATTTAATTATTTATATTAACCAATCAAATATATATAATTGGAGCAATATTTTAATAATAATAAGATATTAGTAATACATTTGTTGAGAAAATATCTAACAAGATCTTACTAAGAAGTTTAAATATTTTATAAAATATGCATTATTTAATTTCCTGATTAATATATATATATATAAGTATCAATATTAATTTTAATTAAAGTAAAAATTGCTATATTTCATAATTTTGTTATATTCTACATTATATTAAAATAAAATGCTATATGAAATGAATATAAAATATATTAAATTGGTAAAGAAAAATATTTTATTTTTTAAAAATTTTCTTTTATTCAAATAAATAAATAAATATCACTCACTTTTAAAACATATTAATTTTTTAAATCATATAATATTTTTATACAAAAATGTTAACATATATTTTTGTAACTCACAACAAATACATTATATAAAAAATTATATGTGAATATTTTTTATTTTAAAACTTTACAACAATATATTATATAAAAATAATTAAAATTATAAGATTATAAAATTATACAATATATAACAATAGAATACGTAAATCATTTGAAAGGTTTTGTTATATTTATATAAAATGAAAAAAATACCCGCACGGATGTGCGGGTTCAAAATCTAGTTTCTTTTTATGTGTCTAGTCCTAACACGTCAAGTATTTTAAAAAAACGGAAGAATATTATTCTGTTTTTATGTTTGCTTTTTAATTTTCAGGAATCAAAAAGTCATAAACATTAAGTTGTCTATAAAATCAGACATTTCACTTTAATGATATGACCTACCAATAAAGTTAGTGATTGATTACATTACACAATAATACCAATCTTTTTTGGTACTAAAATAGAAAATGAAGAAAGAAGATGATAGTCATTCTTTTTGAAAATACTCTATAGTTTGAAAAAAATATAGCTAAGATATTTTAATTTTTAATGGATCTCACACTATTGATGATGCTAAGATTTGTCGAGCGCAAAATAGGCTTTAGTTTGGGCCTTTAAGAGCCTTAAAGCTGGTGATATCCAAACTGCCGTTTCAATTAAGTAGTAATAAAAGCCTGATAACTAATGCTGAGATGGCGCTAGTTTATTGGCTGATAAGATGTAAAGTGCGTGGCGAGAAAAGCCCCGTCTTATAAACAAAAGATCAGAGCCCGGTCAACTCCAAATCAAAAGGTTCCGAACATCTCTTCGTCTCTAAAGCCAAATCTGGTGAGTATTTTTTTAATTTGATTTTGGTTAATATACGATCCAAATTTGTGTGATTCATTGACATCGTGATTGTGGAATAATCTCTAGATCTGTTGTTAAGGTGTAGATCTGATAATGAGATCTCGATTGTTAAAACCGGAAATCGCGTTGAATTTACGGTTTACAATCTCCTATCTGATACGATTCTTCTTCATTTGCATGTTCGATGTTGAATTCGATCTCGATATATTGCTAATCTCGTGAATCCGTCTAATTTTCACAATTCATATTTTAGAAAATGATTTAATTAGCAATTGATTTAATGCTAATATTGTATGCACATGTCTCTTTGAGTTAGTTAAAGAAGAGAGAAGAGAAGGATGGTGGGAAGTGGAGCTCCACAGAGAGGAAGTGCAGCTGCAGCTGCAAGCATGCGTAGGAGGAAGCCAAGTGGCAGCTCAAGTGGAGGAGGAGCTTCTGGTGGTGCAGCAGGATCCATGCTTCAGTTCTACACTGATGACGCTCCGGGTCTCAAGATCTCCCCTAATGTCGTCCTTGTCATGAGCATCGGTTTCATTGCTTTTGTTGCTGTTCTTCATGTTATGGGCAAGCTCTACTTTGTTAAGTGATGATGAGCAGAGTGGCTTGAAATCACCTTAATACTGCTACTAGTGATCGTGTTAGACACTTGTTTCGACTTTAAGATTTAATTTTGTGGAGTATAAGTTTCTTGGCATTCAAAGTTTTAGTATTCTTTTTACGCGAAGTTAAGGGATACACACACTTGTGTACACAATCTCACACATTCACTGCACAGTCGTTATAATTTTGGAATGATTCACATGAGATAAACTCGAAGAATGTTAATACCTGAACTCGGCTAGATGTGATTAACTAAAGTACTAGACCAAGATTATTAACATGTCAAATGAATATTTCTGGGTTTATTGAACATTTAAGGATTTAACAGGAAACAATAAAAACTAAACAGAAGTTCAGGGGCCTAAGTAGTAAATAAACTATTTGAAACGGGTCCCGTATCCGGGTCATATACTACTATTCAGTGCGAAATAAATTAATACTTGAACCCGGCTAGAGGAAAGATTATTAACCTGTGAAATAAAGAATTATGGGGTTTATTTAACATTTAGGAATAATCGGGGAAATTAGAAACTAAAATAAGTTCAGGGGCCTAATTTGTAAACAAACAATTTGAAACGGGACCCGACTTTTACGTCCGGGTCAAACTATTCAACCACTGGGTTTTCCATAGGACTTCGAGTGCCGAAGAGGAAGTTGGAGATCTTCTCTAATGGCAACTTCAGGAGAATCATCCTCAGCAATGGACGACGCGCATTCAGCTACGATTCCACAGTCTTCTCCATCGCATCCTCTGTTGTCTACGATTCCAAGCGCTAACATCGCAACGACGACGGTTGAGAATGCAGCTTCCTGGATCGACGACGCGATGCGTCAAGCGCTGGTGTACCAGAAAACGATCGTGGAGACGTTAGATTCCACCATCGACGCCTCGAGGACTCGATTGTCTCAAATTCGAGATACTTCCGTAGCTCACACGAGCCAAACAATCGTAAGCGAATCTAAAAAAATCCACACTAATCTATTATCTGTTGCATTCGATTGAATCTGTTCGCTCTCTGAAGAAACTGAGTGTTTTGTGATATAGGATTCTCTTAGAGAGATTGCTTCTGAGTATAGCGTTTACGAGCATTTGGTGTTTGGGAAGATTAAAGGTCTGTGTTTACGTTCCTGGATGGATACTACGTCGTTTTGAGCCTTGATCATATATCTCTAAATGTTTGTATGCAGAGGGTGTAAACGTGGCTGCATCTCATCCGCTAATGTCAGGAACTTTAGCATTTGGTGTTGGCATCTTTGCTATGAACAGTATATTCTCTTATACTCTCTTGAGAGTCAATCTCCTAAAGATATTAATGCTATGCATTGTTAGTTAGTGACTGTTGTGTTTGTTTGCAGAGTCGAGAAGATTTGTATACCACAATACTTTACGTATGTTCTTAAGCGAAGAGGTCAGTGTTGTTTACATTATCGTTCGTTTGAATGTATAATCTAGTCTGCTTGTGGTTAAACTTGTTCTTGACTATTGATTCTATTTTTTTGGATACAGGCTTTGCTTTCTAGAGCAGATCTTAGAGTGAAAGAGCTGAGACAATCATTGGATCGTCTTGCAGCTGAAAGTGAAAAGCTAGAGGTTAGCATTTTCTCTTGTTTCGTATGCATTTAGTTAGGTTTTTTCCTCTTTTATTGGTTTGCTTTGGCATCCCTTTATTTTTGGAAGTAGAATGGCAGGCGTTTAGAGTGAAAATGAAAAGGTTTCAGGTTTCGAATAGAGAACTCTATATGTAGCTTTTGTTGAGTGGATATGGATGAGGATGGTGATGCTCTAGATTCATAGTTGTACTTTCACAGGAATTAAATGGTCATACAATGTACATAGGTTGATTTGTCTATGAATGTGACTTATATATACATGAATCCCCTGCACTTATCACTTATTAGTCAATGATCTTCAGCAAAAGCAGTCTGTTGAATGCCCTTTTTGGATTATGGTTATGAGTTCTTAATTCCACTTTGATTGTTTCAGAGAGTTGCAACTGTGGCAGAAGATGAGTTGATTAGAGGAAGGATGAAACTCAGGTTTGTATGATTCATTGATTCCAGACAGTATAACAGTATTATCGGATATGTATGTATGAACATGAATATTATGTTAACTCTCCCTTTCATTTTACTCAGACAAGCAGGCAAACAGATACGAGGTGTGGTGCAATCAGCTTATAAGATTGAAAACCAAGCAGCAGGTATGTTTTGTATCTTAAAACTCCCGAAGTTTATTAATCCAAAGATATGCATAGAACAGAAGAAATTTATCGACTTGCACCAACCTTGATTGTTGTAATATACAGGTTTGAAAGATGTACTTAAAGAATTGCCCACGAGAGAAGCTTCTCGATGCCGGTCTCATGTAAGTATACTCGTCTCTTTGCTCTTCTAGTTTAGAATTTAGGAGCTGAACTAGTTTAGAATAACCATTTCTAAATACTGTATATAATCTTTAATTGAGTTATCTCGCTTGTTTAACCTCAGATATCAAACCGTGCTTCTGAAATAAAGCAAGAGAGAAAGGCTTTGACAAAGGAAGTGAACAAGATCAGCAACTATGGTATATCCGTATGAGGAGTTTTATTACCCTCTTGGGTTATTAGATGATGGAGTAAAAATTAAACAATAATAATAATATCTTAGACATGATTAAGACTAATTTTATTTTTGTTTGGTGTCAAATGCCAAAGATGTATTCTCATGTTGTATTGTGTTTTCAAGGGCTTTGGTTCTTTGACAATTAGTTAGCAATACAAGTTGATGATGATGTTTTCCCAATTCTTACCATGAGGGTGTTAATCCGGTTTTCGGTCTGGATAGTGCTATAGACTGATAGTGCAATGACATGAACCAAAGGGAGCCTCGCTAGACGCCAAGCTGATTGCACAGAGAGGCAGGTGTATAGGACATGACCACTTGTTTCTTATTCTAAGCAGTATCGATACCAAATCAGATCGACATCAAGGTTGGCTTTAACAACAATAGTCAGGTAACTTGTAAGTGTTTTTTTTCCCTTTCCGAAAGAGAAATAATAACGTGGGAGAAAAGGTAAAAACCAAAGTGTTTATATTTTTTTAGTAATTAACAATTTAATGAGGTTGGATTTAGCAGAGTTCGATGTTTAACACTAGTTTTAGGCTCCGTTCACCGTCAGTCACGTGATCAACGCCGGTATAACATCATCATCACGTGTCCCCCAAACCCAACCCCAAGAACAAAAAAAAAAACCAAAGAAGTGACGTCAGACTAAAACTGCTGATGGTGGTAGTGGTGAAGTTGGACTTGGTGTGGTTGTATCATAACCTCCTTCTGGCGTCGAAGCTCCATCACTTTCCGGTGAGAGTTTGAATGCTGAGTCAAAACAAAAGTCGGACTCGACGCCGGTCTATATTCCGGTACAAGTCTACCGGACTTAAACCGGACTCCACAAGCGTTACACAGCGTCTTAGGTCCGAGTGGTCCTGTCCTCCATTGCGGAGTCTTCTCCGATGCACAGTGAGTGCATCTCCTCATCCCTCCTTCCGCCGACGACTGATGTCTTCCTCCTCCTCCTCCGACGGATTGTTCATTCTTAGGCTGGTCGGATTCAAACATCGGTGTCCATGTTCCGGCGAGGGTAGTAGCTGGAGCTCTCGAGCGTTTGCTTCTTGGTTTCCCGTGAAACGAGGTTTCAGTTTTGACGGAAGTCAAAGTTCCTCCGAGTGGATTCGCCGGAAAGTCAGCGAAGGAGTCGTCGACGAACTGCGAAAGCCATTCCAGGTGAGCTGCGTCGTCACTCTACACGTAAAACAAGAACATCAAAAATCAATAAAGAATAGAAAGAACCAAAAAAGATTGGATGGAGAGAGCTTACGGGAACGCAAATGTCGTAAAGGAAGGATTGATCGGCGGAGGAAGGGAGATGGTGGTGGTGAGGAGGAGGGGAGGAGGAAGTAGCGGCGGTGGAAGTGGAAGAAGAGGCGGAGAAGATGTCTTCGTTGGAGAAATCAAGAAGGTCGTCTAAGCCATAGACGTCCATTGATTTTTTTAGTTATGGTGATTGAGCTAGTTGATCTCTCTTACAAACTCAGACTCTGTCTCTGTCTCTTTCTTACACTCTAGAGTCTGTGTCTAGTTAGTCTTTAATAAACCAATTAAGTTCTCACCTAAACTTTCTCTGCAAAAACCCTAGCCGCCACTTCAGCTCTTCCTCCGGTAGCGGTGTCGTGCCGTTGCCGGCGGCTCTCCTCCTTAATCTCTCTTTTTCTCTTTGCCTCTTAAACTCCTCATCCCCTTTTCCAACATGTCAAGACTCTAGAAAGCCGTTCCGTCATCAGACTTTCAGTCACGGGACGCCGGCGACGATTCTGTTCGGTGGACGTGCTTTTCCGGAGTGGCGACGAGGCTTAGGTGGTTAGGATGTGGCGAGGTCGGCTTTTTCGGTGGCTAGATCTGGGTCAACTTTTTTCCTTTTGTTCGATCTGGGTTTCGCCGGAGCTTGTGGCGCGTGGTGCTCCGATTAGGCTCTCCTGGCCCGGATCTGCGTCGGTGTGGGGTGGTGGTGTCGACTCTTGTTCCTCTGCCTTGGTGTCTCGGTGTAGGAGGAGGCTTCTACCCCATCCAGTCTGGACTTCGATGGTGTTCTCTCCTCAAGGCGTGCGTGGGTTCAGCTTCCTTTGGCGGTGTCATTTGAAGCTTTCCGGCGGCACGTGTAGAGTCTCCGGCGAGGTGATGCGTGGAGTTGTCCATGCTTTGGCGTCGTCTTTCCGGATCTCTGCTTCAGTCTTGCCTATCTCATCATGGCTTTGTTTGTGGTCTCCTTTTCCTCCAGAAGTGCACATTTTGGTGGAGAAGTCTTTGGGTTCTGTTCTTGATGGTTGGTAGCCTCGACAGCCACCGTTTGGCTACATGATAATGTTGTAAGAACCTTCCTCTTGTTCTAAGAGATGGAGTGCGTGGGCGTTTGTTGTGGTGCGTGAGTCTCCGTTGCCTAACTCATTGTCTGTGGCGGCGCACTGGATTGACGTCTTTCCCAGTATCGGAGTTTGGTCTTTGCAAGCTTCGGTAGGATGTCTTCCTTCTTTTTGCAGGTATCCCTTTCCACAAGTCAAAGTGGTCACAGCTCAACCGGCCTTTGTACAAGATGGGTCTTCTCGCCATGGCGTCCGAACCCGATGGTTTCAGGTATGAAGCTCTCGAGTTTGTTTACCCGTCTTCGCACTTAAATGGAAGTTGAGATTGCAAGCGTGAAGCGATCGTCATGAACTAGCTACGTCGGTGATGGCATAAGATGAACCGGCAACCGAGGAAACGAGGTGAACGCCATCCTCAAATGCTTACCATCGCCGGTCGAGAACGGGGATTTGACAGTCAGATGTTGACGGATCTAACTAGCGGAACGCGTCGGTTTAGAGGTGGTTGAGCGAAGCTAGGGATGAAACGTTTAGCATTAGACCATTTTGTTCAAATCACGTTTGTAATCGATGCTTTAATTCCCGTTTTCGGGTAGATTAATAATATAAATATTTAATTAAAAAAAAAAAAAAAAAAAAAAATGATGGAAGTGTGAGAGAAGAGAGAAGAGGGCAAGAGAACGTGCAGAGAGAAAGAGTGACCATGCACCGTGACCATGAATGCACTTCTCTATTTTTTTAATTATTACTGTTATTTATCTTCAAACTTTTATCTATAGAATACAAACAAAAAATTGAGTTAACACTATACACTAATTACTATTTATTAGCTACTTGAATATACTAAGTAACATGGTTAGATTGATTTACATAGTTTGTGAATGAATCATATATATATATATATTATATTCTTGATATTTATGCAAGTTGATCACGGTGAATAACCACGACTGAAACTGCAGTAGTGATTAAACTCGAGCTTTAGCATGTCACGTATATATATAACAAAGTTTCAACTTCCTGCTCATGTTGAGTTGATTTTGGAGAAATAGTAGTTCATTCATTCTGTATGCTATACGCCTATACCTATACGTTATAGGCAATTGTATTGGTGTATATTGGGAAATAACCTAACCTGATCAGTTTATAATTTCATATATAATAATAATAGGTTCATATATAAATATAAAACAAGCAATATAATAATAGGTTCTTATTATATAAAAAATATATATATAAATAATTAATTTTAATTTTAGTGGGACCATATATTTACATATAATTTATAAAAATATTATCCTATTATTTTATTGATTTATGTCAAATTTTAAATCGGTTTAAATTGGAACCGACGAAATTAACTAATTTATAAAGATTATTAATTTATTGAATATTAATTAATAGAAGTTCTAATGTATAGGTATGTTATAATCAAAGTTAATTTTGGATCAAACCGAATGAAACATTAGCCGTAGATTTTTAAATGTTTTGGAAACATTTTTTATATTTATAAGTCTTTTGATCCATTAAAAATGTTGAATATCTTAGATCCTTTAAATTTCAGGATCGACTCTGATTATAATCAGTGCTTTATGGACATTTTAGTTCTTGACCTATCCACACAAGTTCTATAGATAACAATTTTTTCATCTTTTAAAAAGAAATAATTGAATGAGTAAAGAAAAAAGGTAATATGGCCAACGTGGCTGCATGTGGGGGCCATAAAATTACAAAAGTAGAAGAATAAGATATTGAAATATAAAACAAAAAACAAAAACAAAATAGTATATATAGATAATAAGCAACCATTCTATATATGTTTTATTGCATCACATCTCACCTCCATTTGTATTATATGAATTATATGTGTTTGAATTTTCATTGTAACTTTCCTTACAAACCGTGGAATTAAATAATCTATATTATAATAATTCACTTCTAAGACTCCTAAAGATGTACACGTCAGCAAGTTTGTGAGTCCCGTGCGTTTAAATTTTAAAAGTTTATAGTTTTTTTAAAAATGAATATGAACAATGAATACACTTTAACAAAGTGATATAATGCATCTAATTAAGTCTGCAAGCATGTGGGTTCAAACCACGTAACTGTTATGTATTTTAGTTTTTTTTGTTTAGATTATTATCATATGAGCTTTTTAGTTTTAATGTTTGTATGTTTTTTTACCTCTGGACTTATTTGTTTAAAGCCCAAAATAGTAGAAAAAATTATAAAGTGTGACGATCTCAAACCCAAAAACAATTAAGAATGGATCAAAAAACAAACAGCCAAAAAAAAAAAAAAAAACGAGTCTCACGCGGCACTATCATATCCTAATATATATTTTACGTTATAACATATTTCCTAATATATTTTTTCAAAAAATTATGTATGTGAAATAAAATAAAAATAAGAAAATTTAAGTATTTTTTGTTATTTATAAAATAACTATGTAATTTCTCTTCAATTTTTAATAGTTACTATAATTTCATTTTTAACAGATTCCGGCGAATGGATTTCCATAGTCGATGACGCTGTAAATAAAAATGCCACATTATTCATGAACAAAAGCCAAACTTAGGAAAAAAACATATCCAAACCTAACTATTGAAACCCAAACAACAAATACTAGCTTAAACTAAAGTTATTTTCAAATTGATAAATCGTTTAGTACAAATATAAATACTATAAATATGTAATTATATCAAGTTTTGATCTCTGATATGAAAACTATTTCCAACATAAAAAAAACAAGATAAACACCTATTTTTATACACTATAAACTATATTATAATTTAGTTATCCCTATAAACCTTACTTCGCATATAAATAACATTTAACACATTATATATACAATATTTTCACTTTACACTCTTGTTATATTCTTTCCATTTCATCATTATTTGGTATTATTAAAATAACTCACTAAACCAACAACCGAAAAAACACAAGCAAACATCAATGATCCCGGTTCCGCGCTTGCGCGGGGGTATGCAACTAATAACTAATAATTTGCACGCAAACGTAATACGTTTCCCATATTTTAATAATCTAATCTACACAAAACTGAATGAATTATGGAATCAATTAAAAGGAGAAAAAAACGGACCGTGTCATGTGAGTATGTGACACTTGCTAGGGTTTATCACATTAATGTAAATGTTAGTACATACTTAAGTATTTAATTTATCAGTACTAATCTTCTTTGTTTCACTAACAAAGTGACTTCCCACAAGCGCCCAACCACACTGCACATCCCGCATTAATTAGATACGATGGCACGGAACGAGAGGTACTCATACGAGATATTTGTTCTTACTACCGACAGTGTCTTTTCCAGCTGGTACATTGTACTTCGTTCAGAAGGTTCACTTTCGTACCGTACATTCCCATGTAACAAAAATTTCTATTTATATCATTATTTACCAAGCGAAATTAGATATTTGCTGCAATAAAGTAGACTTGTATTCACATTAAGTATATCTACCTGATCTACGTACGGTGGCAGTGGCACTATCTTCTCACTAGTCCCTCTTTGTCAATCAGTGTCTCTTGTTTTGGTCTTAGTTATATTTCTGTGTTGAGAAAAATGTTTTTGACTTTTATGCCCCAGAAATGCTGTAGTCTCGTGACTTTAGTAGTGGAAGTAAGCAAGTCCCTCTTTGTCAATCAGTGTCTCTTGTTTTGGTCTTAGTTATATTTGTGTGTTATGGAATTACGAATATATATGTCTTATTGTATACTAAAGTTCTATCGTTTATTCTTTTGATTTTTTTTGTTCTTGAATCACGTGACGTGACAGAGAACGGTGATCCCAAAGTAAACAGCAAGAGCACGTGCAGCCTCATGTGCCCATAATGACACCGAATGAATATTAATATATGAGTTTTTCTCAACAACACTCTTGCTTCCTTTTTCAAGTCAATTGTTGTAGAAAAAGATACATGTATATGTGGTTAAAAAAAACCATGTATATAAAAGAAAAGAAGTCAGCTTTTATGTGAAGATAATAATCCCTTTTGAGTTCTGACTAATAACATGCAAAAATGACAGACCATATGCTCTTCCTTTATCCCTCTTGTCCCCTTCTTTTATACATTTATAATAATATTTAATAAAATTAGTAGTGTTTACTACAATCAACCTATATTTTACATAGAGTATAGCTAATTAGTTTCACATTATCAAGCAACACCCAAGAATGGTAGTGTCAGT